CCCACACATCCATCTCAACATCCTCATCTCTGCTACTCTCATCTTCTGCACGTGGGAGTTCTTGACTGGCCAACACTCAGCCCCACACAGCATAGCCGGTCGAACCACCACTCGATAAAACTTACCCTTAAGTCTTAGCGGCACATTCCTATCACACAAAATACCGGAAGCGAGCCTCCACTTCATTCATCCCGCTCCAATACGATGCGCGACATCTTCGTCAATCTCCCCGTTACCTTGGATAATAGACCCGAATACTTAAAACTCGCTCTCTTGGGGATAACTTGAGCATCAAGCTTAACCTATACGTCTGCATCATGGGTCCCGTCACTGAACTTGCACTCCAGGTATTCTGTCTTGGTTCTACTCAGTTTGAAACCTTTAGACTCCAAGGTCTGTCTCCAAACCTCCAACCTCGCATTAACTCTGCTATGCGTCTCGTCAATCAACACTATATCATCGGCAAATAGCATGCACCAAGGCACCTCCCCTTGCATGTGACGCGACAATACATTCATCACCAAGGAAAATAAAAATGGGCTAAGAGTCGATCCCTGGTGCAACCCCATCACCACATGGAAATGCTCCGAGTCACCACCCACAGTCCTCACCCGAGTCTTAGCATCATCATATATATCCTTAATCACACTAATTTACGCTATCGGAACACCGCTAACCTCCAAACACCTCCACAGGACCTCCGTCGGAACTTTATCATATGCTTTCTCAAGGTCAATAAACACCATATGCAAATCCTTCTTCCTCTCCCTGTACTGCTCAACTAATCTCTTTACCAGATGAATCGCTTCCGTAGTCCAACGCCCCGGCGTTAATCCAAACTAATTCTCGAAAATAGACACGCACCTCCTCACCCTAGCCTCCACCCCCTCTCCCAAACCTTCATAGTGTGACTCAACAACTTGATACCCCTATAATTATTGCAATTTTGGATATCACCCTTGTTCTTGTAAAGCGGAACCATCGTACTCCACCTCCATTCTTCGGGCATCTTCTTTGTCTTAAAAATAACATTAAACAGCTTAGTGAGCAACTCCAAACCTGCCCGCCCGCGCTTTTCCAGAATTTCATCGGAATTTCGTCTGGCCCCGTCGCTCTACCCCTGCACATCTTATGCATCGCCCCTTCCACCTCCTCTACCGTAATCTGCCTACAATACCCAAAATCCCGCCGACTCTCGGAGTGCTCGAACTCACTCAGCACAATGCGTCTATCCCGCTCCTCATTCAACAATTTATGGAAGTATGTCTGCCACTTCTCCTAATAAGTGCCTCATCCATCAACACTTTTCCATCCTCGTCCTTGATACACTTGACTTGGTCTAAGTAACTTGATTTTAGGACTTTGAAATCGACTAAAAATTTATTTATTAAATACTTCCTTATTTTAACTATGTACAAAATCCTAACTATTAGGACTCTTCTTAAATCCTTCTAAGTTTCCAAGTTTTTTTATAAAACCATTTTAGGAACCGTTAGGCAATTTTTTTCCCAAGTCTTTGGCCTTTTTATTTTGATAAAAAATAATTTAATCATATTTTGTCCCAAACTTAGATAGTTAAATATAATAAAAGTCTATCTTTGTCCAAGTCCCAGTCAAGCATATTTATTTTTCAAGTCTTTACCTTTTTTGTTTTGTTATAAATAATAAAAATTATGGTTGAACTTAAATAGTTAAATATAATAAAATTTCATCCTTGGCCAAATCCAAATTATACATAAGTTACACCTTTTTAGTCTATTTCTGTTAGACTTATCGGCTAATTTGGTAAGCAAACGCGAAAAATCAGGCAAAATAAGTTTTTTAACAAATTGTTCTTTTGAATTTTAGTTTCTTCTCTCTCCGTTTATTGAAATGTTACGTTCATATTTTGACAGATTTAATTAGAACCGTCCCAAAATATTATAACCATATTTGGTGTAGTTGGAGCAATTGTACATCTCATTAGAGCACTAAAATCTATATCTATCTATCTATTTATATTATATTAAAAGCATAAAAGCCTTTAGCGAAATGTCATTCGCCTATTTTTCCCTTAAAAATAGATTGTATATTACAAAAAATTGTCGTCTAATTATTTTTCTAATTTTAGGACTTTAAAATCAACTAAAAAATTTTTATTAAATTTTTCCTTATTTAAATCCCATTAATATTAAAGTTGTATTGAAGTATTCCTATAAGATTCTTTATTATGCAAAACGTGAGATAGCAAAATTTGGTAGGAGTTAAACACACAACGAATTCTGAAAACATAAAGATTCAAAACATATGATTTTTCTTACTATTTCAAAATCGAATTCTTACTGAAAAATTATAATTATTCTCAAATATTTAAAAATTAGAATGAGCAAATATTCAGAATTTAAATTAACAAAAATTAAGTTATTTCTTTTAATGTTGAGAACAAACAATTAAGTCGTTGAATTAACTAATTAGCAAACGAATCCAATTCAATTATTTTACAAATTCATCATATAAGAAAAATTATTTGTTAAATTAACAAAACACTTAAAATACATTAATTTTATTTTTGTAAGAAGAGTATCGACAGTGAAAGAAATCATAAAATATAGCAAAATTAATTATAGTAAAAAAATGAAGATTCAAATATGTAATAATACTGAAGCAATAAGGTAAATTGTAGAAGGCAACTGATTATAAATGAGTTGTCATTTGTTTCTTTCTTGCATTCAGTCCAACAAATGAAAACATCTCGCTATAAGGTTTATGCTAAGTTTTTTCTTGTAAAATATTAGTTCAATATTAGTCATTCTTTAGACTTTACATTATCACTATTATATTTTTAGAAGGTATAATGTCAACTTTTTCTTTTGCAAATCTTTAAAAGACCAAAAGATTTAATTTTTAATTTGTGTTATTCGATAAACTCTTAAATAATTGTAAATATTAACAATTTTCATAAGTTTCGATATAAGTCCGGACAAAATAACAACAAGACATCTAAATAAAATTCCTTCATTTGTTAAGCTAACTAAATGGGAATAATATTTATTATTTAAAAAAAATCTTAAACTATATTTTATAACTCAAATAAAATATCTAATAATATATATGTAATATTCAAAATTTGTGTATTCATTAAAATAGATACACGCGCAAAGCGCGTACCCTAATATATATATATATATATATATATATATATATATATATATATATATATATATATATATATATATATATATATATATATATATATATATAT